TTTTTTTTTTTTTTTTTTTCTTCTTTTCACGCACGTTGTAGCACGATTTATCAAAAAAAAAAGGGAAAACAGCAAGGAACGGCATACTCACGCTAGCACTTTCCTAAATGAATCTGACAGCAATCACGTCCAGATTTGGATGAATCTGACTGCAATCACGTCCAGAACCTAGTAGAATAAAAGTCCTAGAGTGCCCTGCCAGTAGCAAGGTCCCACTTGGGAATAGGATTGGATTAAGCGCCTGAATCTGGAAGGGTTTTGGTCACAGATGCAGAAAAAGCAGATCCATCTCAATTTTCTGCACCTCTCCATGGAAACGGTCCAGATTCAGCCCTTGAATCCGATCCTCTTTGCTACAGGTAGTGGTACCACGACCTCATCCCAAGGGGGCTGAGCGGAAGCTATTTAACCACCAATTGGGCCCAAGTCCCACTAGCAAAGAGGATTGGATATATTATATAGAAAAACGCCTGAATCTGGTTGCGTTCGTGGAAAGGTGCAGAAAATCAAGATTGAACTGCTTTTTCTGCATCTCTGCTTAAAACACGTCCAGATTCAGGAGCTTAATCCAATCCTCTTTGCTAGTGGGACCTCACCCCCTGGCCTTGCTCAGTTGGTACACCCCTGAGCTGTCGAAGTAACTGACCTGATTTCGAACTCCACTGCAAGCAGACGAGTCAAATACTACAGTTATTCTGAATTACCTAGGTAAAAAAAAAAACAAAAAAAAAACAAAGAAGCTATTTAACCCCTTGTCCTATCTTTCTTTCTTTCTTTTTTTTTTTTTTTTTTTTTTCCTAATTCCTTGTCCTATCAATCGGGTCGGATTTTGCAGAGCACGTACATTGAGAGGCTTGTTTGTACTCACCACACCGGGACTTCCAGGGAATGCACCTGATCGCAATTACGACCACCTGTGGATGTATCTTACCGTAAGGACGTCCAGAGGTGAGTCAAGAGATGTGCTAGTGTGAGTATACCCTGAGCCGCGGAGGTGATTGAACCCCTTGACCTATCAGTCGGGCCGGGCTTATGCAGAGTTCGTAAAGTGAGGAGGGGCTCTGTACTCACAGTGGGACTTTGCGGGATGCACCTGACCGCAATTATAGCCACCGGTGGACGTATCTGACCGAAAGGACGTCCAGAGGTGAGTCAAGAGAAGTGCTACCGGTCGGGCCAGGTTTTGCGGAGTTCGTAAGGTGAGGAGGGGCTCTGT